ATATATATATATATATATATATATATATATATATATTACCTCTACTCTAAAAAATAAATAGGTTCTTTACCAAAAGGCATTTGATCTGTCGGTACCTTATTAACCAACATTCTTAACTTGAGGCCAAGATTTCAAATATCATCGAAAGCTAGAAGTGTTTGTGAATTTAATTGTCGCATTCAAATCTTATATTCTTTAGAAAAAGATTGTTTATATAAATACCCTGACTTGCTAAAAGAATTTACAAAAAGAAAAACTTAAATTAAAAAGTTTCAAAAAGTTAATGAATTCTCTTGATGAATAGAACAAGATTTAAAATCACGTGAAAACAGCCTGTTTTTTTACACTTGAAACTTCACAGCAAATTCGGGTTTTTTTATCTTCACAATTCCTTTTGCTGTGAAGTTTCAAGTATAAAAAAGTTGTCTCACGAACACAGAATAACCCAACTCTAGAAGACAATTCCATCATTCAAATATTTCAACAAAATTAAATATCAATAACTACAATGATAGTGATCAAACAATAAGTACAAAGTAAACAATGTAAAAGAATATATATATATATACATACATATATATATATATATATATATATATATATATAGAAACCCAATCTTCCAAAATAAAGAAATCCAACAACAAATTCAGGTTTAATGTGGAGTTTTATCTTCTTTTTCACCTTCGATGCTTAAACTCTTCCTCCGCTGTACCTTGAAACTTCTTCAATCCCGGATTGAATTGCAATCATGCTGAATAACTGTGTCCCCGTTACAATTATCAATACAGTCTCTAATGCACGCTACACAACAACATTTTTAATTCTTCTGTTAAAATTCCAATGTTTAATATATATATATATATATATACACATATAGAGAGAGAAATAGATAGAGACTTAGGATCACGTGAGACCATCCTGTATATCGTGAGACCCGTTAGATATTTTTTACACTTGAAACTTTACAACAAAACACTGTGATGGTCTCACGTGAACCCAGCCCAATATATATATATATATATAGAAGTTATAAAGAGTAATTACCAAGGTGGAACTGCTCCAACCAATATCTATCTCTTTGCAGGCAAATCTGGAGAGAGATTAATAATTAATAAGGTTTTTTAAAATTATTTATCTGGATATTCGACCCGTTATGTGAGCCGACTAATTTCAGAACGACCATCTGCTTTGTAGATAAACTGAGTCACCGCATTTGAACCTCCGTGGCCACAGGGGGATTTTTATTCCTCCTTGGGTTTGAAACTGAGACCTCCAGGTACTTTTAAACTTTGGAGTCAAGTTCAAACCAATCAGGCACCACCCTTGAGATTAACATTTATGTTTATGTATAGATGGAATAAGATGAAATACCCCATGGCAAGCACTGTCAATGACCAACTGATTAGAGAAGAAGCAGAAGCTGCATATAAATTGGAAGCATCCCATTGAGCTACATTATTCATTCCGGTGACCATCGTCACAAACCCGACAACGCCCGCTAACAGAGACAAGAGAACCACGCAACCCGTTGCCATGTTGCCAAACGGGAAGTATATCGGGAATATTCTTGCCGGAATACTCAAAACCGAAGCTGCCAAAATTACATACCACGTTATCAAGAGGGTACTCGTCTGTTTTAGAACGGTACACAGGAATGTCATTATATATTAGATTATTCTTCAAAAGAGTCTCGAGAAAAGAACTAAGGTTCCAACATATATATTGAAGAGTAATTAATAGTCCAAATCTAGCTGATGTGAGACTCTAACATATCTAAAAAAAGGTTTAGAAATACGTACCTTGTTCATGTGTTTTTTCGATGGCGTGATTGACCGACCACGAAGCCAGTACGATGATGATCAAATAAAGCACGACGTTGACGAACAAGAGGAAGAATGTTGCAGGTTTTCCAGCTCCAGAAGCCATGGCTTATGAATAGTATTATGATCACTGGATTTCTATAATTCTGATCATCCTCTTCAAAGAGCTTTATATATATACATACATATATATATATGTACAATATGTTTTGCTTCCGATTTGAAACTTTGAGTAGCTTCAATCCAAAGAAATGGGTGAAGTTCTTTGCTCTTTTTGTTGGGTTTACGAAAAGCATCATTTTGGCCCTCCAACTTCCTAAACAATTACACATTATGATTCTTTTTTTGTTTGTTTACATTAGAGGTGGATCAAAGGCCCATAAAATTCTACTTATGAATATTGATCGAATAGATGCATGAGAACCCGCGTGGGATTTCGTAGATCCACCTAGGACCGTAAACGAACTGAACGTTCAGCGAACCGTTCGGCGTGAAGTTCGTTTATTTAATAAATGAACGAACATAAACAAAAAAATTTGTTCATTTAATTAAACGAACGAACATGAACAAGAGTCTCGTTCGTTCATTTATGTTCGTGAATGTTCGTTCATTTACATTTCGTTTAGTCCTATTTGTGTATGTTCGTTTAGCATGTTAACGAACGAACATAAACGAACACGAACATACCTGATTTCTAAACTAACGAACACAAACACAAAGACTTTCGTTCGTTTACCGTTCATGTTCGTTTGATTAAGTTAAATGAACGAACATGAACAAGCCTTTGTTCGTATTCGTTCGGTTCGTTTACATCCCTAGATCCACCATTAGTTTACATCTTTTTGTGCCTTCGAATCAAATAAAAGAGATTGTTCCTTGTTTGCATTGTTCGACGTCAATTGATTTATGGATATTGTAACATAAAAGAATATGTTTTTGTGGGTCACTTTCTTTTTTACCCAAAAGTAAAGCAATCGGACCATGAATATTTAATTAAAAAAAAATTAAAAAGGATTCGGATTTTGTAAAAGCAATTGCATTGATTTTGGTTCGTTTGGTTTGTAGGATTTGGAATGGAGTTTAATTTTTTTAATATTTATTTGTTTTATAAATAATTTATTTATATCAGTAAGATGTGGAGCGGATGAAAAGACGTGGCAAATTTGATGAAAGAGGCCGGGATAAGGATACAGATGAGATAGAAATAACTGAAATCCATGAAATCTGGATTTGAAACGAGAGTCATCCTCAAGATCTCTCATGGGATTTTATTGAAATTCCGGGGTTTAAAATCCGAACTTTCTTGCAAACCAAGCAAAGATTAGAACGGAAATCAATTTAAATCATTTATATTTACTCTACATTTAAGATTTTTGAATTTACGATGAAAATATATAATAAAAAAACATTAAAATCACGATAATATAAGTTTAACGTTAAAATGGTGAAAATAAAAAGACACTCCAAATAAGTGGCTAACGAGATTGTATTACATCAAACGTTTGTTCGACATTTTCTTATCGTTTCAACATTTTCTTGAAGAATATTATGTTCTTGTCTTGTGGATGTGGAAAACTCTATTATTTTAACTCATTGTAGATATATTCCAGTTTGGGGCCGTTTACCAAATGATTACCCAGGTAATCGCTTACCAAGTCACATTACCTTACCGGATAAATATAGGAAGGACAAAGAAATCTTACCCAGTAAGAGAGAAGGTAAGGAACGAGAGTCTTACTCGATAAGTGAGGGCGACGACTCTTACCAAGTTTAGCATTTAGCAGGTAAATTGTTGCATACGATACCGTATTAGTAGACTAAAATCTTACCCGATAAGTAAGGGGCCGTTTACCAAACGCTTGCTTGGTAAGTGCTTACCGGATAACTTTCCTCGTCGGATGAACATGACAAGGGCCAAAAATCTTACTGGGTAAGAGCGTTGAGAAGGATGTAGAGTCTTACCCGGTAAGTGAAGATGACGACTCTTACCCAGGTAGGTGCTTACCCAGTAAATTGTTGCATTCGATACGTTTTGATGTACTAAAATCTTACACATCAAGGTAAATTATAGTGTTGACTCGTATAGGTAAGCACTTATCGGGTAAGCATTTGGGTAAACAACCCCTAAGTGATAATGTAAAATTTCACCAGTAAGTAAGTGATAGTGTAAAATTTTACCGGTTAGTGCTAACCGAGTAAGTGTTTGATAAACGACCCCTTAATATCTTTTTGTATATGGTTTCTCGTTAACAGTAATGAAACTCGAGGTCAATGTCCTTGTAATACATGTCGAATATATGAGATTGTTTCAGTACATTAATATCATTGTCAAAACTCATGACACAGAAAAATGCATGTCATATCTAAAGATCTTGAGAGGCAGCTGCTTGTAACATCTAAAATGCAGAGAGAGTTTGTTTAAGAGGGTGTTTGGGATTGCTTATTTGAAACAACTTATGCTTTTATACAAAAGCACTTATTAACTTATTATAAGTTAGAAGAGTTTAACTTCTTCAAAAACTCCTTATTACCGGTTTGACATCGGTATACGTTGTTTATCCAAACACTCAAAAATGCTTATTACCGGTGTCACACCGGGATAAGTTAATAATGTGTTTTTATAAGCAATCTCAAACACCCCCTAAGTATAAGAACGAGTTGGCCATTTTTCAAAACGAATGGCACAATCAAACCGTCCAAACTTCCACAAACTTTCGATTTGATTCGGTTTGGTTCAACTGGTTTTCGCGGTCTATCGGTTATTTTAACTCTTCTAACTTTTGGTTAATTATATGATAAAAATAGAAGTGATTGAGTTTGAAGCTATTAAAGTCGTTGGGTATTTTTGGGCCTGTTTGAGAATTTGGGCCGTTTAAAATTGGGCTTATTAACATGCAATAAATCGTATTAGGGCAACGACTCGTTCAACCCAGAGTTGGTCTTTTAATATTTTAATTTTCTATTTTTTCATTTTCTTTTTGAAAATTGAAGTCAGTCCATGGAAGTTATGTAAATGTAATTTATATATACTAGCAGGGTATTCGAACAATGCAACAAGATATATCTCGATTTTAATGTTTTATTTTATTCATTTTCTTTATCGATATAATACGGTTTATGTGGTTTTATAAAACGATAATATTTTTATTTTAAACAAAATATAAATTTGAAAAAATGTATCGATATTAGTATTAAATTAACTATTTAAAAGTTCTCATTTTCTATGTAATTTCTTTAATTATAAATTAATTTAGATTTAATAATGAAGTAATTTATTTTTATTTAATAATATTAAATATTATGTTAAAATTTAACGATTATCCTAATTATATTTTGATTTTTATAATGAAATGTTTATCTTGTATTTGATTATGTTTATCTGCAGTTAGTTATACGAATTGAAAAATAAAGTTTTAATAAGTTGTACTTATGCACAATTTACTTGTAATATTGAATTTTAAGTAATATGCATCAATATACAATACTTCATGCATAAAATATTGTTTTTAATATTTTTTGTCAAATGCTTTATAATATAGTGTAGATATATGTTCCCTCATTTGTTGATTATATAATTAGTGTTAACTATATAAATCAATCCGAACCTTTAATTTGTATAATCAACGGATTATAATGAACAGTGACAATTTTGTAATAAATTGGAAGTTAATCCACGTGAAATATGGTGAATCAATAGTGAACAAGGGTAGAATCGTAAAAGTTCATTTAGACTTCAGTTATGTAAGGATTCACGTCCCTAAATTTCTCCTTCTTCGTTGAGAAACTACATCTATTATGATTGTGGTGGCACGATTCATCGGGTGAAATCGTGATCTTGATATCTGAACATATTTCATTCCAATAATATGAGCTAAATCTTAATTATTGTATGCAATTTTACTTTTAATGATAAAGAAAGCATTCGTCTGTGACTCCGTTCATATGGAGGGCCTATTTTCTATCGCTCACTCAGGATTCATAAAATGTCAGGAACGGGCCTGAGTATAGTGATATCCATTTCACATATACTTGGTTCACAATGTGAATATTTTTGGTGTGCATGTGAAACAAAAAATACATGTAAAAAAAATCATATTGTGAATAAAATACATATAAAACAAAAGACAATATGAAATAAATATATGATAATCAATACAACAAATATTATACTTAGATAGAAAAATATAAAATAAAATCTCAAATATAAAAATTCACACAAATCTTATAAACTTTTGGGTTTTTAAATGATTAAGGGGCTGTTTGGCAGATAATGAATAGTTCGGTGCATGATGATTAAGTGGTCAGAATGATTAAGAGGTTCTCATGATATAGTGCAAAATGAAATATAATTGTTTGGTAATTATTTACAATGAAATTAGAACGCTAAATGGTTAAAGGAGAACCATGATGCAAAATCATTCAAAAGATTTTAGAACCATTAAGAGACAACTTTTTTTTTCCAAACAAGATTCACCTCTTAACGATTCATAAACTGTCTTTTAATAAAACTATTAAGAGCTAAACAAATAATCCCTAAACTTCTATTAATTCGAGGCATGTATTAATATAATATAAAGCATTAATGGATTTGTTTAAGACACACACACACACATATATATAGACTTGGGATCACGTGAGACCGATGGTTTTTCATGAGACCCATAAGACCAATTCTCAACCCTTAGATTAGATTTTTACAATCGTCAGATCTGAACATTTATAAACGCCACGAGACTTCTCCATAAATACAAAATTGTTACCTTGCAAATTTAGACCATTAGATCATTAGTTTATAAATTTGATCAATGAACATAAATTGGTCTTACAGGTCTCACGAAATCCCCTTGGTCTCACATGATCCCAAGTCCTATTATATATATATATATATATATATATAATAGGATTTGGGATCATGTGAGACCAAGAGTTTTTTGTGAGACCCATAAGACCAATTCTCAACCCTTGGATTAGATCTACAATCTGAATATTCATAATCATAAAATTGTCACGAGACTTCTCAATAATCACAAAATTGTCACCGTACAAATTTAGATCATTAAATTATTAGCTTATAAAGTTGATCAATGAACATAAATTGGTTTTACGGGTCTCACGAAAAATC